CTTACTTTCTCTTTTCTAGGAAGAAACAGTTCAGATAATTTTTTTAAGCTTTCAGGAAAATGGCATACTTTCTCCATATTTATGTTAATATCTGCAAAGAATGATTGCTTCCATTCTTTGCTTTTCTTTTGGAGGACCTAATAAAAGGATAAGTCACATGGCTACACCTGCTCCTCTCACACCCATTCCTGTATCCAGCCTGAAGTGGACCTGGAAGAGGAAATCCTGAGAGATCAAAAGCACTTCAGAAGCAAGGACCGCCATGTTCCATCATGACTCCATCTCCAGGCTGATGAGCAACAGGACAGGTAAATAAGCATGAATACCAGTGACGTGGTTTAGACATGCTGTTCTTTCATTTCTCTCCCTCCGTATTTACAGATAGCATTCCAGATATCTCATTTTTAACAAAATTAACAAAATTTAACAAAAAATTAGACACCCTCCATATGAAATCATTTCTTCTTTTCCCTTTAGAAATTGTAAACAGCTAAGACTAGCGAGCAATTATTTCTGGAATACATGACAACACACTACCTCTGTACTCGGTACACTCTAGTCCACGGAGGCACCAGGGCTAAGATCCGAGCCACCAACTCTATCAGGTCACTAGGAGAGTAACTCTTGTATCTTCCTGATTGCCAAAGCTCATAAAGCCCAGTTCCGCGAATCACCAGCGTAGGGTAGAGTTTCAAGCCATCAGGGCGAAAAGCAGGGTTCTCAAAAAACTCCTGTGAACAGAGAACAGAAAATCACTTCTCCACTCATTATACAGGTAACCCATGGTGAAGCCTCAATCCTGAGCCAGCTTTGCTCACAATGCCACCAGCCCGAGCTGCCTTTTCTTTCTGCAAGGGAAGGTATGCTGACAGAACAGAAACTGATTTTGTAGCCTCACTGGAGCAAAACAAGTGTGTGCTGGCCTACAAGGCCCTCTGTAGTCCAGGCCTTGTCTGCTGTTGCCATGTCTTCTCACGTCACTACTTACCACCCTGCCTGTCTCCCTCGGCAAAGGCAAATTCCTCTGCCTGGAAACTTTCTTTACCTACTCAATCTGCAGCTCTCAGTTAGAATGCCACTTTTTTTTTTTTTTTTTTAAAGATTTTATTTATTTATTTGACAGGCAGAGTTACAGATAGTGAGAGAGAGAGACAGAGAAAAAGGTCTTCCTTCCTCTGGTTCACTCCTCTAATGGCCACAACGGCTGGAACTGAGCCGTCCAAAGCCAGGAGCCAGGAGCCTCTTCCTGGTCTCCCATGCAGCTGCAGGGACCCAAGCACTTGGGCCATCCTCTACTGCTTTCCCACGTCATAGCAGAGAGCTGGACTGGAAGAGGAGCAGCCAGGACTAGAACTGGCGCCCAAATGGGATGCCAGTGCTGCAGGCGGAGGATTAACCTAGTGCACCACGGCGCCAGCCCTGGAAAGCTACTTCTTCAGAGACGCCTCCCTGACTTTCAAATACTAGTTGTTCCACTTAAAAAACATTTCACTGAACTCTGTACCAGGGGTCTTGAAAAGTTCATAGAAAATGATTATTATTTTACACACACACACACAAAATCTTTACCTTTTTTTTTTAAAAAAAAAGTTTTATTTATTTGAAAGTCAGAGTTACACAGAGAGAGGAGAGGCAGAGAAAGAGAGAGAGAGAGAGGTCCTCGATCCGCTGGTTCACTCCTCAGTTGGCCACAATGGCCGGAGCTGCACTGACCCGAAGCCAGGAGCCAGGAGCTTCTTCTGGGTCTCGCACGTGGGTGCAGGGGCCCAAGGACTTGGGCCATCCTCTACTGCCTTCCCAGGCCATAGCAGAGAGCTGGATGGGAAGTGGAGGAGCCAGGACTAGAACCGGTGCCCATATGGGATGCAGGCGCTTCAGGCCAGAGCATTAACCCACTGTGCCACAGTGCCCCCCCCCCCAAAAAAATACTTATCTTTTAAATTCACTTTTCTACAAACTTTTTGAAGTGTCCTCATATTTCTTCCTTAGTAACATCACACAAGATATTTGCCTTGACCTCCATACAACATTCTCCTTTAATAACACAATACATTTAATTGATTGAACTTTTTCCAGAAGTTGTGACAGGGGTCAGTGCTGTGGTGCAGCAGGTTAAGCCACTGCCTGCAATGCAGGCATCTCACTTGAGTGCGGCTTTGAGTCCCCACTGCTCCACTTCCAACCCAGCTTTCCGCTAATATTCCTGGGAAAGCAACAGAAGATGGCCCAAGTGTCTGGGCCCCTGCTACCCATGTGGGAGACCCAGATGGAGTGCCAGGCTCCTGGCTTTGGCTTGGGCCAGCCCTGGCTGTTGCAGCCATCTGTGCAGTGAACCAGCAGAGAGAAGATCTCTCTCTCTCTCTCTCTCTCTGTAACTCTGCCCTTCAAATAAGAAAGTAAACAAATCTTGACAAAAAAATAGTGACAGAAACAAACAAAAAGTTGTGACAGAGATCATTTGCCTTTCAAGACCTAAAATGTCCACTACATGGCCCCTTACAGAGAAGGTTTACTGATACCTGGATGTGAGTACTGTGTCCTCAGACCAACTGGCACCATCCCTAACCTGGGCTACACACTGTTCATTTGTTATCTGGACACTCAGCAATACCTCCAACGCATCGACTTTTGGCACAGTTACTTCTTGTATTGTCTCATCCCAGCTGGCTGCCTTATTTTTTCTGAGATGCAGCAAGGAGACACCAGGCACTCTTCTTTGCATGACTTTGCGCTGATAATTGGCTCTAATCCTGATTTTTCACGGTATGTATTGAAGGAATGAAGGAAGATTCACACAGTTCCCTCTCCTACTGTGTCATTAGTATCTACCCAGCCAATAGTACCATACCTTACACAATGTAAAAAGGAATACCTCCTGCTACATTATTCTTACAAAACTTTCCATTGTTTAACTTGCTTTTCAAAGAAATGTAATTATAGACTTTTCGATCTCTCTCATTGATTTCTGACATTCTTAAATGCTATATTCTTTACACATCATTTGATCTTAAGAGATATTCCTCTATAATTGTTTTTTTTCTGTAACATAAACATTTTAAAGATTAATCAGGTATTTGATATAAATATTTTGTAGCCATCCACAGAGAGTATTACGTGAGTCATTTCCACCTCATCAGAAGTCACATTTGAATGCAAGATTTCACAAAAGTACTTCCGGTATTTGTTTAAGTTTAGGAGACATATGGGCTTATATTCGCCTTTTGTCAGAATAAAGATAGCTTGGATTTCGCTGGACTTTGGCTAAACATGGAGAATTAAAATATGTTTCCCTCCAAAACTACACTAAAATAACAGGAAAAAAAAAACTTTAAGAAGTTGAAACCTAGAAGAACACAGAGAATAACAGACAAGGGGGACAAGTCTTCCAACAAATTCTTGGAAGAAAATGGTTAGAAGACTGGTAGGTGACTTTGCAAGTGAAGAAAACTGCAAAGTATCGCAAAAAGGAGATTTTAGTGAAAGCCCAGCTCAGTCATACCAGAGAGTCCCAGAAAGGCTAACAGAAGTATTGGCAGGATGGAAAAGAGATGGAAATAAACACTAGGTAACTGCATCAGTCTGTACTCGGAGATTTATCTCTTATTTTTTTGTACCTCCCCTGTACAGGCAGATGAGAAGTTTTATCCCTAGAGAAACTGCAGAGTTTCTGGACTTCAAAGATTCCAGGCACAAAGGAAGGGCTGGATGAGAATCGAAAGCAAGCAAGCTGACTGGTGGACTGGCCTGCCCCCTTGGGGCCAGAAGTCAATTTCCTGTAATTTACTCCTGCCACCCACCCTCAAGCAGGCTGCTGGAGAGTTCATCTTCAATTAGTATAAAAGAGTTCAATACTGTTATTTAGAAACACCCTGAGAAAGGAGAGGAGTGCCTGACATGCGCATCCTTCAGGGAAACATAGCAGCAACCAGCTACCACAGGCCATCTGGCCTTCCAGTCCCCAACTCGTACAGCATCATCATTTGGCTAAGCATCACCTGGAACTTGGAGAAAGCCTAGAATGTGACAGGCAGACCAAAGGAAATAGAGGCACTCTAGAGGGAAAGGAAAACAAAAAACAACCTATAATTAATTCCTTCAGAAAGACAAGAAAAAGATACTGCATTCATAAAACAAGAACAGGATGTTGTAGAAAACTGAACTAGAATAAAAGGAAAAAATGTTGCAAATTAAAACCACAACAGAAACAAAAATATTTAATACAAAGATTGAAAGATAAAGTTAAGCAAAAGAAAGCAGACTAGAAATGCTAAAGCAATAGAAAACAGAAAGGAGTGTTAGATCATCAGTCTAGGAGATCCAATGTTTGCTTAACAGAAGGAACACAGAATATGGGAAGAGAAATTAAATAGTGAAAGAAAACTTCCCAGGTGATAGGGTACTTCAATGTCTAGCACAATTAACTAAAAATTTCTTACTAAGATACAACACTGAGATTTTACAACCTACGGGATAAAGAGAACTTTCCAAAATACCAGAGGGGGTTAAAAAAAAAACCAAGGTTATATATACACGTAGAATTAACAAATATGTAATTAGGAATCAGAACACTATTGGGTTATTTAAGAGCAGTGCTAAAAACTATAAGACAATAGCGTAATGTCAAAAATAAATAAATGGGAGAAACCCAAGGGAAAATAATTTTAGCCTAGTGTAAGGTAGAATAAACACTTTTAAACATGTAAAGAACTTACTTCCCATGATGAGTCTTTTTAAAAATGAACATTTTTTTTTTTTTTTAAGAGCTAGAGCAACAGAGTATGTGAGGCAGAGACAGAGAGACAATTATCTTCCATACATCCAAATGCATAAATCAGCTAGGGCTGGGCAAGCCTCGATTCAGGGCCCCAAACACTTGAACCATCACCTGCTGCCTCGCAGGGATGCACATTAGCAGGAAGCTGGAATTAGGAAGGGAGTCATCCAGGCACTCCAACACAGGATGCAGGTATCACAAGCAGTGGCTTAGGCGCTACACCAAATACCTACCCCATGAATCTGTTTATAGGAAGCTGCCAGAAAATATGTTTCAACAAAATGGAGTAATGAATAAAGAGGATAACCTAAGGTCCAGAAAAGAAAGGATCCAAGCCAGGAGAGCAGAGAAGCGCCATCTAAAGCATACTGATTTCTGTTACAGTACTTATAGTATATTTTGACTTTTATAATCATATTATATAAATCATATACTTTATAATATTATATAAATATACTTATGAATATATTACTCTGATGTAAAGTTTTGAAACTATAAAAAGTGAACTTTTGTCTGTGTAAATCTCTAAGATTCAACTTGAGAGGCCGGCACTGTGGCATAGTGGGTTAAGCCACCAGCTGCAGCGCCAGCATCCCATACAGGTGCTGGTTCAAGTACTGCTCCACTTCCCAACCAGTTCCCTGCTAATGTACCTGGGAAAGCAGAGGAAGATGGCCTAAGTACTTGGCCCTTGCACCCACATGGAAGACCCGAATGAAGCTCCTGGCTTCTGACTTCAGTATGGCCCAGCCCTGGCTGTTGCAGACATTTGGGGAGTAAACCAGCAGGCAGAAGATCACTTGCTCTCTGTCTCTCCTCCTCTCTCTGTAATTCTGCCTTTCAAATAAATAAATCTTAAAAAAAAAAAATCCAACTTGACCATTTTCTGCTAAGAGTTCTCTGGATTTCCATATCATTTAGGTCATGCACAATCACTCACACCAAAACACAGTTCCCTCTGCCTGACAAAAGTATCATGGAAAGGGTACTTGATTGAGAGTGGGCTCTACTTGAGATTCACTTCTGACTACTATCTCACCCTCATCACACCTGGTTCCCTGGTCTGATGAGGCTACACTTGGTGTTCTTTTCTTATATAATTCTGCACTTACCTGTACTCCATGACATCACTTTAAGTAAAGAGCCTTTATGTTAAAAATGAAACAAACACCTCTACTCACCCCCCACCAAACCTCAACTTCAATCTCACTGGTTTTTGGGGAAAGCAGTTCAATGGAAAAAAAGAATTTCAAAAGGTCAAAAGGGCAGAACAAACATTAACAGACTGAAAGATTTGTAATTACTGATGGGAGATTACTAGAGACACATTTTTCCTTGAGGGAAATAGACATTCATCAAGTATTTTCAGTAATCTGAGATCAGATATCCAGGAACAGTCTAAGTTTTAGAAGAATAAAATATTCAAACAGCTGAAAGCTATTTTGAGCAACTAAGTCCTATCTGAGGATAGGTAGAAATGGTGAAGTTAATGCCTGCAGGATAAATTTTTTAAGATATTAATCTCCATTAATCTCCTTGTTGTAACAAGGATAAGCTTTCAGCTCTATAATTAAACTTCTTTTTAAAAATATATTTGTGTTTATGGATAATTTAAGTAATACTATTTGTCATACATAGCTACAAGCTCTGCATTTACCACCGTCTAAGAATGTGACTTTATAAGAAACATATGTAAATGAACAGGATTACACACTTAGTGACAAAGAACTGACCTATATAACAAAGCGTGAGTTCTAAGCCATTTATAGCTAACATGGCTATAAGATCTTAGTGGGCTCGGTTGTGACTTTATGGGTCCATGCCAGGCAGGCAATCCTGTTCTCTCTGCAGAGTAAAATTTTTGTGGACTTTCGCAATTATACAAACAGAATCATGACTTCACAACCCCTCCTATGCAAGAGAACACATTAAGGGAAATATATCTGTAGTTATTATTAAGGAATTCTGGGCAGATGTGATAACAAAATAAAGCAGGAGAAAAAGAAGTCTTTAAAGTATAAAACTATTACCTACTAAGCCAAGAAAGGTTGTGAATTTACAGTAGGCCTAAATGAGACTTTAACAAAAACTATGGTTTTGAAATTTTTATGCAAACATTTTAATGAAATATCTTAGATACTGAAAAGCAACGAATCATAATTGTGTATCCTGACAGTTTTTTTTTTAAAAAAAAACACATGTAACCAGAACCCATTGAAATCAAGAAAAAGAACATTTTCAGAAACTCAGAAGTATACCCGTCTCTAGTCATAATTCCTTCCAAAGTTTTTTGAACTTCATATTAATAGAATTGAATATTAGGTAGTCGGTTGGATCTGGCTTCCTGTGCTCAGTATTACATTGAATAGAATCAGTCATGTTGTTGCATTAAGTTGTATTTAGTTCATTCTTGATTTATAGCACTTTACCACATGATTACAGTACACTATATGAGTTCTTTTTTCTTTTTTGTATTTTAAAGATTTATTTATTTATTTGAGAGGCAGAGTTAGAGAGAGAGGAGGGACAGAGAGATCTTTCATCTACTGCTTCACTCCCCAACTGGCTACACTGACCAGGGCCAGGCCAGGCTGAAGCCAGGAGCTTCTTCCAGGTCTCCTATGTGGGTACAAGGGCCTAAGGACTTGGGCCATCTTCTGCTTTCTCAGGCACATTAGCAGGGAACTTGATCAGAAGTGAAACAGCTGGGACTGGAACCACCACTCATACGGGATGCTAGGGCTACAGGCTGCCTGAGCCACAACACCAGCCCCTATTTGTGTGTTCTACTGTAATTAGGCACTTGGGTTATTTCCGTTTTGATATTATCAACAGCAATGTGAACATGTCTTTTGGTAAATATATGTATGTACTTAGGCTGCGCAGTACATTGTGACTAGAATTGCTGGGTCATAGGATATATATATGCTCAGCTTTAACAGATACCGCCATACAGTTTTCCAGCATGGATGGACCAATTTATCTTCCTGCCAGCAGTAAATGAGAGTTCCAGATACTCCATATTCTTACCAGAACTTGACATTACCTTTTTAAATTTTGCCATTCTTACCCATTTTAGTGCATTTATAATAGCAATGCATTGAAGTCTTAAAATTTTATCTCTACAAAAACTAAGTACCCTGAGATGTGGACAGATTTATCGGCTAACAAATACCTGTTTTGTAAAATGCCTATTCAAGTTTTTCCCCATTTTCCTACTTGGCTTTGCCTTTTTCTTATTGATTTGCAGGCAAGTTATAAATTAACTTGCAGCTAATTTTTTTTTTCAAGAAAGAATTCAGATTTTCATGTTAGCTTCATTTTGTCAGTCCTTTTTGGGGATGCAGCTAGCAAGAAATACAGTTTGCTCTGTGGGTTCTTTTGAAATGATTACAAACAAGTAGATAAACATCTACTTGTTTACATGAAGGGTTGTCTCTGCAATTAATGAACTATCCCTAATTTTAAAGAAGGAAAAATGAATAGTGAGACTGAGCTGCTATTACTTGCTATGGTACTAAAATATCACATTTTTCAAGAGCACTTAAAATTTTGAAACCTGGTTATCCTCCTTTCTGGTCCACTGAGGAGCTGCGGCAAAGCAAAGTGTGTTTCTGGTGACTCTGAGGCTCGGTGTCTGAGTATCTGGCTGTTTAGTCAGGGGAAGATACCAGACTCAAAATCTACCACACAACCAGTACGGGCAGTTACTAATATGGACATCTGTGAATTAATGCTTGCTTGTAAACAGGCCTTCAACTGCAGTTTATTAAAGCTTAAATAATAATAAAAATAAACTTTCTAAAAGTAAGGAGAAAATTACTAATTTCACACAAATTAGGCATACTGAACTCCATTTTTCTAAACAGAGGAAATAATTTGATAAATACTCTTGTCTCCAAAAGAAGAAAAAGAAGCACACATCCCCTTCCTGAGAATCTGAAGAAAAACAGACGACCTGACCACTCTCATTTCCCTAGAAAAATCTAATATGGATCAAGAAACTGTGGTAGAGTACACAAAGCAAAAACAAATCTAGAATTCCAATTAGGCATTGAAAGAGAAAGGCTAGAAGAAAACAGAAACAGATTTCTAAGCTTAGAAGTATCTCAAGAAGAAAAAGTAAAAGGTTAAAATAGGTTGGGGAAAATATTTGCAACAAACATAATAAACATTGAGTCTAAAAGGCCTTACATAAAAGTTCATGTAAATTTAGTATCAAAAGGATTAACATCGCCATAGAGCAACTGATTAGAACAAAAACACACAGTTTCTAGAAGATAAAAGAAATATAACTAAATACAAATTTGAAAAGTATGTTACTACAATTCCAAGATGCATGTTAAAATGACACTTTTATCTGCCAAATTAGCAAAAATTAAAATACACATATACACAGTATATATAAATGTATATAGAAAATACAAAATCAGAAAAGAATTATTTGAGAAGGATAACACTGCTGAAATGAATATAAATTGTTAACAACCCTCTGAAAAGCACTTGGTTAACACAGTGATGTTCTTAAAAAGTTTATGCCTTTACCTGATAATTCTACTCCACTGCATTTATTGTAAACAAACCTAAATACTATAAAATTTATAAACATAAATAAGTTATTTACCTGCAGAGCTATTTGGCAAATCCAAAATTGGTAATATCCTAAACTTTGAAAGTGGTTAACAATGTCTGACGTATTAATTGAAACATTTAAATATGTTAAGAGAGGGCCGGCGCCAGCACCCCAGTTCTAGTCCTGATTGGGGCGCCGGATTCTGTCCCGGTTGCTCGCTCCTCTTCCAGTCCAGCACTCTGCTGTGACCCGGGAAGGCAGTGGAGGATGGCCCAAGTGCTTGGGCCCTCCACCCGCATGGGAGACCGGGAGGAAGCACCTGGCTCCTGGCTTCGGATCAGCACAGCTCGCTGGCCGCAGTGGCCATTTGTGGGGTGAACTAACAGAAAAGGAAGACCTCTGTCTCTGTCTCTCTGTCTAACTCTGCCTGTCCCAAGAAAAACAAAACAAAACAACAAAACAAAACAAAACAAAAAAAACATGGTAAGAGAGATCAGGCTACACAACATGGATAGATGCTGCTTAGAATGTTAAGTGAAGGGGTAACAGGTTAAGCCTCCACCTGTGGCACTGGCATCCCATATGGCCGCTGGTTTGAGTCCCCCCTGCTCCACTTAGGATCCAGTTCCCTGCTAATGGTCTGGGAAAGCAGTGGAAGATGGCCCCTGCACCCTCATGGAAGACCCAGAAAAAGCTCTTGGATTCTGGCTTCGGGTCAGCCCAGCTTCAGCTATTGTGGCCGTTTGAAGGGTGAACTAGTAGATGGAAGACCTCACTGTCTCTCGCTCCCTGTCTATAACTATGCCTCTCAAATAAATAAATAAATCCTAAAAAAAAAAAATGTTGAGTTAAAACGTTGCTATTAAAACCCCCCAAAACACTAAGCATAAAAAAATCTTGGAAAGAATATATTAAGATGTTAGTTTTGTCTGATGCCGGAGCTGTGCATGACTTCCCTTATTCTACTGCATTTCTAAATAGATGTATTGCTTTAGCAATGATTTTTTTTAAAAAGGTCAATAGTAAAACAAAAAACAAGAGCAGAGAAGTTATAGGAAACATGCAAATGCAGTTTAAATTAGCCTGGTTTAAGTTAGCACTTACTGTAAACTGTTCAATGTCTCTTTCTAGTCCCACATTTGGCAGATCGGGCATCATATGAGCCACAACTTTGAAACCAGAATCCTTGGCCAGGTGAAATGACTCACATACTGCCTTCACAGTGTGCCCCCTGAAGAAAGAAAAGTGACTATCTGTTACACAAATAAATGGGTTGCAAAGGGAAAACAGTCTCAGACACACATAACAGAAGTTCCACAATCGTGAGTCAAGCCTGCGGGAGAAAAGAACTCCAGAAGTCATTCTTCTCTTCACTGCCTTCTGAGGAGGCCTGGGAGAAAATCGTTTTACTTCTGAGGTATTTCTCAGAAATCCCCTTATGTAGTTTCTCAAAGTCTTGAAAGTAAATGACTAGGGTAGTAAGCGTTAATATATACTAAAATTATTTGGTATAGCATCATCAGTAAAAATAAGCTTACTAATGTAAATATCTGTCAGAAACAAGAACAATGAGCTGAAAACCATTCAGAAACTGCAGTTTGCTATGCTCTTTCCCTCAAAGATCTTGTGAAATTATCTGCAGGAAGAAAGGAAAAATGAAGTCTATGATTCAAAACAGATTTCACTATTAGATTTGGAGAGTCATTTAAAAAATGGAAAGAGAAAATTATTTTGTGAGAAAGCAGAATCACTTAAGGCCACATGAATAAATCATCTTAACTTGGCCTTTCTATTGCCATATCCAAGTAGGGAACAAGTCTCCTAAAGACTGAATCCTAGTGTTAATCCCTTTCACCACAGAAAGACACTAGAAGCTACAGATTCCATCAAACTCTCTGTGGATGTCCCTATCCATTTTCCTAGTTTCAATCTCTATCTAATCTCTTTTTGCTAGTAACTTCCAAATTTCTAATGACGAGGCTAGGCCTTGTTCCTGAATTCTATACCCAAATACCTAATACTTCAAAGTTGTACTACACATATGGTAGCCAGTAGGCACATCAGGTTATTCAAATTTATATTTCCTTTACTTAAAATGAAAAAACTAAGTTTTTCAATTGCACTGTTGTATTGAATTGTGCAAGTATAGAGAATTTTGATCAATGTAAGGTACTCTATTTGTTGGCCCTGTGTTAAGGCAAATCTTTCTCATTTGTTCCATAAATATCTAAAGTTTAGTATGTCCAAAATGAAACTCATCTTTCTTCCAAGCTTTCCTGACTTCGCATTATTTCCTATCTTCATTTCCAACCAGTCACAAAAAAACTACCAATCATTTCCTGTCCAGGACGTCAGTCTTTCTTGCTTAAATCACTGTAACAGCCTTTTAACTGGCCTGCCTTTCAGCTTGCTCTTCTCTAATCCAAACCCCATACTGGAACTAAAGTGATCTTTCTAAAATGCACATGCTCCCATCACAACTCAGCTCTCAGATGGCCAGTGGCTTGCTACAGTCCTCAAAGCCCAGTCGCTCTGAGCAGACCTCCGAGACGCCTTGTAAACTGGCTCCTCTGCTTGCTTTCCAGCCTCAACTCTTATCACTCTAACCGAACTCAACCACTTTGAGCTCAGAAATGTGCTGTGTGCTCCGATGTAGAGGTTTGCTCTTATTTTCCTATCTGAAGCTATATTCCTGTTTTGCACTTTACTAACTCCTACTCTTACTCTAACTTTTAGCTGCGATTCATTTTCTGCACACAGCTTCCCTGACCTTCAAGAAACCCTGTCCATTCCACAGGTTCCTCTCCAGCATAGGCCTAGATTACTACAGTGCTAGAACCAGTTTTCTGGCTTTAAGTCTTTCCCTACATAAGTGCAAGTGCATTCTATTCAAGTTACTCTTTCTCAAGCATGATATCCATTAAATTCTTCTGAGAGCTAAAAACTCTCAACACATCTCTATTACCTACAGGAAAAATTCCACCTTTTCGAGCCTGGCATTCTTCCTGGTTGTTTCTAAGACGTTTACCAGTGTCAATATCCTTACTTCCTTCTAGCACAACCCTCAATTTTATCGACCCAAATCCTATGAAAATGGGATTTTCAATGCATAACTTCCTCATGAAACCTGCCTTGACCATTCTAAGTCAGTGATCTCTGTTGTCTAATGAACTCCTTTGGTCCTAGTTCCCCACTAACTCAGAAATAAACTATAAAGTTCCTGATTTAACTTAATATTTATAGAGGAAACAGAACTTCATATGGCTCCACTAACCCTTATTTCCTCCTTCTTTACACTGACACATTTTTCAAAGTTCATTTCCACTGTCTCACCAAATTCTCACAGGTCCCTGCCAAGTAAAGCCTGCTCCACAAAAAATTAACCTCTTAAACTTCATCCTGTCTTCCTTCTTATTCAGACTCTTTTCTTTGTTCCATTCTCCTTGGCCTTTCTCTTGCCTTACACTACTGACTTGGGGTCCTGTCTCTTGCTTGCTCTGGAGGAGGCCTTATAAAATGAGAACAGGGAGAGACAGGAGCATGTCTATAGGCCGCTGGAAAAGAGCTCATAAAGAAAGACTGGAAAGGAAGGAAAGAGGGGATGAATTAGGAGCATGGATAAAAGGACTCTGAAAAGGAGAAATACTTATAAACGCCCATTTCTCTAAGACTGGTAAGAAGGAAGAAAGGATGAGTACAAGTGCAGAGAAAATTGGCGGGGATACAGGCAGGCACGAGCAAGATCATTTGCTGCTGTCTTACCTGTTGGTGTCTCTAGCCACATCTTCATAGACACTCTGTACCCCAATCTCCAGCCTCGTGCAGCCATAGGTCAACATGTCACTTAAGTGTCGCTTCATGCAATAATCTGGTCTGGTCTCAATAGTAATTCCAATACACTTTGTGAGGCTTCTCTCAGAATACCTGCAGAACAAATCTAAAAATAACAAACCTGCCACAGTTTTAGGGTATTTATTCCCACTCAAAGGTCTGTTTTGTGTTTTTTTTTTTTTTTTTTTAAAGATTTATTTGAAAGTCAGAGTTACACAGAGAGAGAAGAGGCAGAGAGAGAGGGAGAGGTCTTATCCGATGGTTCACTCCCCAATTGGCTGCAAATGGCCGGAGCTGTGCTGATCCAAAGCCAGGAGCCAGGAACTTCTTCCGGGTCTCCCATGCGAGTGCAGGGGCCCAAGCACTTGGGCCATCTCCCACTGCCCTCTCAGGCCACAGCAGAGAGCTGGATCAGAAGTGGAGCAGCCGGGACTTGAACCAGCACCCATATGGGAGGCCGGCGCTTCAGGCCAGGGCATTAACCTGCTGCGCCACAGCGCTGGCCCCAGACTGCTTTGTCTTAATCCTCCTGGTATGAAATAGTGTTTAAGAGGGTGGACGCTGGAGCCAGACTGCCTAAGTTCAAATCCTTGCTCTGTGGTATAGAAGCCTCAGCCTGCACTGCGGGCATCCCATATGGGCACTTGTTCGAGTTCTGGCTGCTCCACTTCCAACCCAGCTCCCTGCTAATGAGCCTGGGAAAGCAGAAGATGGCCCAAGTGCTTGTGCCTCTGTACCCATGTGGGAGACCCAAAAGAAGCTGTTGGCTCCTGGATTCAGCCTGGCCCAGTCCCCGCCGTTGAAGCCAGCTGGGGAGTGAACCAGCAGATGGAAGATAAACCTCTCTCTCTCTCTCCCTCCACCCTCACCTTCTATCTCTGCCTTTTAAATAAATAAATAAATAAATATTTTTTTAAAAAAGGCAACAGAGCTATTAAGGAATTAAAAAAAAGAAACCAAATCCTTGTTCTATGTAAACTGCCATGCTATTCACCTCTCTGTACTAGACAGTCTTTATTTGCAAAATGAGAGAAATAACAGTCCCTACACCTCATAGGACTGATGTGAGTGAACTAGCACACTGTAATGTTATTATCATTATTCTTCTTCTGCAATATGCTGCAACCATAATCACCCTAAAAACGGTAATTTCAACTGTGAAGACCAATTTTTCAATTCCTAGCAACCATTTTTCACATAAGTGAAAACCATCTGTGTTATTTATTTGCTACTCCATAGAGTCATTTTAAATAAAAGGAAAAAGCAAAAGGGGAGGCTAGGTGTAACGAGCATAGGAATAATTCAGATGAAATGTCTTCTACATCACCAAAGTCTTTCTGCCAAGCTATTCCTTTTGGCAGTAATTTACAAAATTAAGAAACATTTTTGTCTCTCACTAAAACCAGATACTAAGGCAGTAAAAGTACCACTTTAGATCCAAGCTATCTGAGTTAATGACCTTATTGTTGGCCAAAGGTCCACAGAAGTAAAATTCAAATGCTTAGGGGGCTAGTGAGAGAGGGGGCAGGGAATTCAAATGGACAGGGGCCACTGCTGGCCGAGCCCTGTGCGTTACACTCTATCGATATGGACCCTTCCCAGCAGCTCCATGCAGTGTGTCTTCCCATCTTCCTCTGACGGAACAATACACTGGGGTTCAAATGGAGTAAACAACTTGTCTAGGGGTACAGAATAATAAAAATCCAACTCCAGATTTAAAGCTGGGCCCACCTGACTAAAATCCTAGCTCTGTATTTCATTTCCTACATTGATTGGACCGCTCAGCATGGGACAACAGGTCTCCCCTTTTCAACACTTCTAGATTCTGAGAGCCCCATCATGCTCTTCAGCACACACTTCCCCAGTTTTCTACTTTCTGTGAGAAAGGTGAGGGAAATCTTTTTTGCCATCTAATTTTCTTCTTTCCAAAGGTGTTTGTAGTTCTTTCTTGAAAAGGAAAAAAAATCATAAAAATCCCGTAATTTTGTAACTACTCCATTAGGTTCATTGCTTCATTATTAAATGTCACTAAGAACTGACATATTTAACGTTAGTAATAATTAACAAAGCTAAGACTCACAGAACTAGAGGAGCATTAGTTCCAAAGCCTTTCATTTTAGACACTGAAACTCTTTTGTACTATTTATTTCTGTCTTCTATGGGGCTTTATGTAGGATTAGCAAGCAGATGCAATCAGACTAAAAGGTAAACAACCAGTTCAAATTTACTAACAAATGAGTTATAAGACCGGGAAAAAAAAAAAAAAAAAAGAGAGAGAGAGAGAGAGAGAGAGAGAAAGAGCTCCTATCTTGCCAGATAGGATGCTACTAACTCATTTCTCTTCTCTGAAACAACAGAATCAGAAAGCTTCACGCCTCTCAGATAGTTAGGCACAAGGCATTAGTAACAGATGTTCACAGTCCCATAAGATATATAACTCACCTTCTTCCCACAGCAACTGCAGGTTTGAGGGAAAAGAGTGTTGTTTTTTTTTTTTAAAGATTTATTTATTTATTTGAAAGGCAGAGTTATGGACAGAGAGGGAGAGACAGAGATTCCATTTGTTGGCTCACTTTCCAAATGGCCACAATGGATACGGCTGGGTCAAGCTGAAACCAGGAGACTAGAACTCCATACTAGTCTCCCTCTTGGGTGGCAGGGACCCAAGCACTAGGGCCATCTTCTGCTGCCTTCCCAGGGTATTAGCTGGGAGCTGGGTTGGAAATGGAACAGTCAGGACTTGAACCAGTGCTCATATGGGATATCAGCATCGCAGGTGGCAGCTTAACCTACTGTGCCACAACACTGGCCAGGCATTTTATTCTATTTTATCTTTAAAATAAATACTCAGGGGTGGGAATTTGGCCTAGCACTTAAGATGCTGGTTGGGACAGTCACATCCCATATCAGAGTACCTAAAATCAAGTCCCAACTCCACTCCTGAATCATCTTCCTGCAAAAGTGCACTCTGGGAGGCAGCAGATGACCCAAGAAGTTGGGAACTTGGGCTTCACATGGGAAATGTGGATTGAGTTTACACGTTCTGGATTTGGCCTGGCCAACCCTGGCCATTGTGGGCATTTGAGGAATGAACCATTGGATGGAAGTGCTTGCTCACACGTGCTTGCCTTCTCTCTGCCTCTCAAATAAATAAAAAACAAATAAACACTCATATATTAAAAATAAGAAATAAATACTCATATTACAGCCAAAGCAAACCATCAATATGAAGACTGATAACGAAGCAAGGTAGAATGCTCTCAGTGAGTAGATCATAAAATGTAAATGAGAACATACTAGAACCAGGCATTCTAAAACTGCATCATAACACTCCTATTAACTCATATGTTTTAAAAACCCAAGTATTTCTTAAATGTGATGCCACTAAGTAGGGAAGCCTGGTGGCACAATGGAAATTTCCATCACTGGGAAAAAAACAGAAAAGGCAATTTCACAAATGGGAACTTGTCTAGAGGAAAAAGAAAAAATTTCCTAGCTGATCTTTCTGTCACACAGATCATCAGAGGCTCAACCCAGGATAAGACAGAGAAAGCCGCTACAAGGACGATGGGTCTTTTCAAAGGTAATCAGAATATAGTATAGGACATGGAAGCAAACCTTATTCTCTAATAAGAATTTAACTCCATTTCAAAAATGTATCTTCTCTGGGGGAAAAAGTCATTACTTTCTACAGGAAGCAGCAATGGAGGAAAAGTCAAATTTTAAAAGTCAATATTTTATATTTTTGCCAGATTTGTATCTTCATCTAAAAAGTAATTAAGAAAAAATTCTTATCAACTTTGAACAAAAACAATGGAATGTTTCCTAAAGAACAGAGTATAATGTTGTTTTCCCATAAGTTCGCTGTATGTTTTTATTAAATTTTGTTAATGTATATATGTAATCCTACAGCTCACTAAATGTGCTTCTTCATTGATCAGAATGTAAAGATATCAATATGACTATGCTTTAATATGCAAATACGTGCACACAGGCTTTCAACTAATCTAAGGTGACATCTGAGGACCCACAGCATTTCCACAGCTTCCCAATAGGATGGTCCTCCCTTACTTTCTTCTTCAACTCCCACAGCTTCTAGGGGCCACAGGCATTTCTGTATACAGCAACTGTATCAACTTCTAAGGGACAAAGCCAGGACTTACATGTGGACTGTGGATTCCAACTCCACTGCTCTATTTGTGAGGTTATATAGTCATCTTCATTAAACCTATACAGCCAACCAATGTGGGGCTATGCTATATACTATGCTTTTCTACATGCTATAAGGAGAGGCCAACTGTAAATGATACAAATATTCTTTGGCAAGCATAAACTAAGCCAATAACTTATATTGACAGAATTTTGTGCAATTAGGGGTGAGAAGCAGCAGTGGGGAGAAATGGGACAAAAATCTGGGAATTGGGGCTGGCACTATGGCGTAGCGGGTGAAACTGCCACCTGAAGTGCCAGCATTCCATATGGGCACTGGTTCAAGACCCAGCTTCTCCACTTCCAATTCAGCTCTCTGCAGTGGCCTGTAAAGCAGTAGAAGATGGCCAAGTCCTTGGGCCCCTGCACCCGCATGGGAGACCTGGAGGAGGCTCCTGGCTCTGGATTGGTGCAGCTCCAGCTGTTGAGGCCATCTGGGGAGTGAACCAGCAGATGGAGGACCTCTCACTCTCCCTCTCTCTGACTCTCCTTCTCTCTGTGTGTAACTGTGACTTTCAAGTAAAAAATAAATAAATCTTTTAAAAAACAAACAAACAAAAAAAGAATCTGGGAATTTAAAAGCAAACAAAACCCAAAGCCTTCAAAAGACAGGTCACAGACATTTCCCCTTCAGTGACATCATCCCTGAGCCCCTCGGTTAGAAGTCTGCTCTCGCTTCCAAAGCACCTTGCCCATACCATGAATAACTGGCCTTGTTATTTATAGATATGTCTGCCCATCTAGACAGGAAGATCCTGGAGGACAGTAAGCTTGAGAACATTTAGGTTAATTGTTTAAGGGCTTCAGCATTAAAAACTCTCCAATTAAAAAAGTTCAAATCTGAAGAATGAACAAACGAATTAGAATAACTGGGAATATAGCAG